TAGAGGAACTCAAGACTATGACCCTTGACCACCCTTCATGTCTGGAGTAGAACTCATCCTCGTGGCCCAATTTTCAGCTAAGCAGTACATACATATAGAGAGAGGGCAGAAACACTAGTAAGGTAAGCTCACCATGGAATTATCAACTATTCAAGGTCAAAATGGCAATATTTACCTAAGGACAAAATTCAGAAGGGTTGGGAAGAAGCTTGGAATGGAGCCAAGAACCCCAGGGAAGAAACTGGTGTTACATGGAGGAAATTGTAGTCATTGAGATGAAGCAAAATGTATGATTTGTTGAATGTGAAACTGATGATCTGCTCTGAAACTGTCACTCAATTCACAATAAAAAATTTCCAAAAAATATTTTGAAGAAACTCTAAACAGAATGGACCCCCAGAGACAAATACCAGCACATATCATAACAAAGTTTTCAAAACCAAAGACAAGGAATGAATCCTGAGAGCAACTTGGGATAAATGAAAAGTTATCTACAAAGTAGAACTAATAAGACTAAACTCTGGACTTCTGGTAAGACTAAGCAGACACACTACATGGGCCCTCTACAAAAATATACAAGAGAACAAATAAAATAGACACAGATGAACATTCTGGCACCCTGAAATTCAGAAGAAAGTTACCTTCAAGGATCAATATAAAGATTGAGGAAAGCAAGAAAACACAATAAGAATTTTAGAAGACTTCAGGAAAACACTACAAGAACAAACAGACAAAATAAATACAAATTTTGAGGAAATACAAAACCTGCAGTTAGAAACCCGGAAGATTAATACCAAGCTCTCAGAAATGGATGATACATTGAAATGGCAAAGGAGTAGGTGTGAAGCAATGGAAGCCCAAATTAGTGAGCTTGAAGATATATCTCTCAATACTAATATGCTAGAAGAACAATCCAAAAAACACACCCTAAGAAAGCCTAAGAGTTATATAGGACATCATGAAGAGGAACAACTTACGGGTGATCTGAATTACAGAACAGAACTCTTCCTAGAAAGTTATTGAAGAGTTGTTGGAAGAAAATATCCCTAACATTATGAAAGACAAGAAGATAAGCATACAAGAAGCTGCAAGAATCCCAGACAAGATAGATCCCAAAAGAAAATTACCAAGATATATCATAATCCAACTTTCTAAAATCAAAGAAAGGAAAGAATCTTGAAAGGAGCCCTGGAAAAACGAAAAGTTACCTACAAAGGAGAACCAATAAGACTAAGCTCTGATTTCTCAGCAGAAACCATGCAGGCAAAAAGGCAATGAGATGACATATACAAAACACTGAAAGAAATAAAATGCCAACCAAGAATCACATACCCAGCAAAACTGTCCCTCAAATACAACAGCAAAATTAGGACATTTCCTCATAGACAGAAATTAAATGAGTTTTTAATGACCAGACCAACTTTACAAAAAATACTAAAGGGTGTTCTTTGGACAGAGAGCCAATAACAG